CGACGAAATATTGTACATTTAAGGTCTGCCGGTTAGGTTTTAAAAGAATAAAAATCATTTTTATTGTAGTTGGTATTAGTTATAGATTTTAAAATGTATACACCTAAGTCTGAACTGTTTTTATTTTTTATAGTTAAATAACTTAGCTGTCACCAAAGGGCATGCAAGTTATGTACTGTTTTTATTAAAATATTTTGTTTCATTTATATTATTTTATATACCTATCTAAGTATGAAGTACATCATTTTATTTTACAACATTTTATTTCATATTTTGTTAATATTTAATAAAATTTATTGTACCTATGTACAAAATAATTTTAAAGAAAAATACCTTAATATATTGTTCCAGGGCTTGATAAATGGCGTCACAAACTTCTGGTAAAAATTTAGATATTGTAGGAATTGACACTCTAAAGAAATGTTGTAGGGTTCGGTAACTATTATTACCAGTCGCTAAATAATTCAATGTTATTTGTAGCTTAATGCGCGCTGGTAGTGCATCTCGAAGAATAGTGTCCTGTTTTTGAATAGTTGGTGATACCAAATTCAATAATTTTTCAAAATTTTCAGTTGTCATTCTTAGACACAGGCTGTACTCTTCTGGATCCTCTAAAGGTAGTTCAGTAAGAAGATTTTCTGATGCGCCAAGTACTGTTCTTCTTTTTATCCACTCTCGAACCCAAATTCGTTTTTCTTCATTACTCTCTTCAATGAATTCTAAAATATCGTTTACTAACGCAGTTGTAACCACTCGAAGGCATTTCTTTAATTATTTTCGACAATGACGACGACGTACGATATCCATATTTGTTTATTTGATATTTTGAAGTTGATCAAACCTAACCGTGACGGCGTGAGTTTACACATCAACTGCACTCTCTTCTACTAAATACTAGCTTCGTGTAAACAGTTACTCTACTAAAACTAGTAGAGTAAAGTGAGTAGGCAAAATAGTAGGTTAGTGTACTCTACCAAATACTCTACCAATGTAAACCCGGCTTTAGTCTTCGCTTTTCTACCGCTAAGAACGTTCTGTCGCTTTTCTGTGCTGTTCTATTTTAATTTATTTATAATGTCGAATGTTGAGATTTTGAGTGAAATGTTAAGTAAAAAAAATCGTAGTATATATGTAATCGATGGATATAAATTTCGTTTCCATAAAAATTTAAAAAATGATATTGATCAATATTGCTGTACTAAAAAGACTTGTAAAGTATATATTCATTTAAATAATAACGTAATTATTAAAAAAAGTTTTAAATCACGAAAACCACGAAAAAGATGTGTGTTGAAACATTAAATAGGCAGACTGTAAGTAATCAAGTGAAACGTAAAGCTGTTGATGATATTAATGAGAAGTTATGTAAAATTATTCATAGCCACCTTATACAAGACGTAAACACTTTGACAACATACGATTTAACATTAATAAGAAAAAATATTCACCATGCTCGATCATCTATTATGCCAAAGTTACCTGTGGATTTGAATGAATTACACATCTCTCTAAATAATATGAGTCATTTATTAGTTACAAATCGTAACGAAAATTTTTTACTTGTAAATGACAACACATTAAACATTTTATTATTTTCTACTGAAACTTAAAATTTTTGAGTAAAGTTGATACAATTTTTGTAGATGGGACCTTTAAAAGTTGTCCGAAATTATTTACCCAAATGTTTACAGTTCATGGTTTACAAAATGGTTATTATTTACCACTCTTATTTTTATACTTCCCAATAAAGAAATTAAAACATATGAAAAGGCGTTTATGCACATCATATCTGAATGTAGCAAACTCAACATAACATTTTCACCAAAAACAGTTTTTGCTGATTTTGAAATGGCGATTCATTTAGCTCTATTAAAAGCTTGGCCTTCTATTAATTTAAAAGGATACCGATTTCACTTAGCCCAAAGCTGGTGGCGAAAAATACAGACAATTGGCTAAGTAGTGAGTATAAAAAAAATACCGAAATCGGTAAATTTTTAAAATACTTTTTTGGTTTACCGTTTTTAAATTCGAACGATGTGAGTGACTGTTTTACAGATTACATAATGGCTATTCAACCAAAAAATGAAAAAGTAGAAATATTTGTTGATTATATATTGGAAACATACATTTCAAACGAGTCCAATTTCCCTCCTTTTTTATGGGCAGAATACTCGGCGTCTACTATGCGCACTACTAATAGTTGCGAGGCTTTTCATTCGAAATTCAACGCTTAGTTCTACAGTGCTCATCCTAATATTTTTGTATTCATCGATGTTCTGAAAAATGTACAGAAGGATACCTATATAAAATTAAGAAGCACTCACTTAAATACTCGCAGAACAAATATAATTGAAAAAGAAACATTTATTAGAAATACTATCATACAAGTTTTTTACTAGTGCCATAATACCTAAGAATTTTACTAAATTATACTAACATTTTTAATTTCAATTAATATCATAAACGTTTTTATCAGTGTCGTAATTTTTTAATAAAAAAAAAAAAAAAAAAACATTTTAATATCAGATTTTAATGTCAAAAAAACTTTTTAACCTTTAGAAATATCATATATGTTTTTACCAGTGCCAAAATGTTTAAATAAAAACAAAACATCATTTTTAACCTACCTGCAGTATCTACTGATGCTGTAGGCAGTCCTAATTCTGTATAAAAACGCGAAAGAAAATGAAGCTTTTTAAATTTAAATTTACATATTTAAATTAATTTAATTTTAAATTTCGGGCCGCAATTCGTATGTAACCCAAAAAAACTCGGGCCGCAATTCGGAAGAAATGTTTACCACGGGACGCAATTAGTAGCCACCGGATATATCACCCAGATAACCCCCCGTAAATACGCCACTGATTACAGATATTATGTATACATATTAATTAATTAAAATAAAAGTTTTAGTTTGTACGTATTACTCGTATATATAATACTTAATATTTATAACTAACACCCCCTTCAGAAAATCCTAGCTACGCCACTGATACTTACCTTCATTTACTGTACAATTTCCCGTCTTAGGAGGTTCTATAATTGAATAAATAGAAAGCAGACGGTATAGTTGTAGAAATATTGGCATGGTTGGGTGATCATTTGGACCTGCAATTTGTCTGGTTATTCCAAAAAATTTCTAAAAATCAAAATTATTATCCAAAAAATTAATCACAATAATCATAATTTTGAACTTATAGGTAATAGTTTTAATTAAATATTAATGTTATATTGAATATTAATTTCTAAAACAATTTTTGTTTTAAATCATAATTACTTCCAAATTGTCTTGATTACACTTGGCTGTTAGAATATACGAAAATTCACATTTATCCAAAAGATATTCAACCAAGTCTATTGTCGACTGTATGGTTATCCTAAGTCCTTCATAAATCTATCGTGTTAAAAAATATCTTTCATGGATTAATCCTTGTGATACATAACTTTCCCACTCATCTAACCAAACTATGGCTTGACGTAACACCTAGAACAATTAAATTAATTAATTTTCTCCAGTGGCAGATGGATAATCAATATTTAATGTTTGCATCCTACATTAATCAAAACCTTTTAAAACAAAGTATAATTAAAATACTATAAAATATTAATTTATAATTTACAATAATAAACTTTTAGGTGTATACTTAAGTATACCATACAGCTATTAAATATATACAAATTAAAACAGAACAATTTAGTAGATGTAAACAAAACATATGTCTTTTAGGATAAGTTATTAATTACACCATTATACCATATAGACACTCAAACAGTAAAGTTAATACACAAACATTCTCAATTTTCATGCAACACATAAAAAACCTGTATATCTTTATTATTTTTTCTGATTCCTTCTAATGGGTATTTTCTATTTAGAGCATCAAAAATGTCATTAATTATATATGTAAATTTTACAGTTTCTTCTGAGTCTTTGAAAAATTCATAATGTTTTTGTTTATAAAAATCAATACCTATTGCTAATGATCTACTAAAAACCTAAACTCCATAAAAATATAAAAGAAAGCAATAATTATTAAATATTAATTTATGCTTGGTCTAGAGACAGCGCCTCTTATCTGCACTATTATTATGAGTCAAGGTGGATATATAGAGGTGTAATCACTTCGCTTAAAAGTTGATTGAAATATGTACACCAGTTGTTTCTGCCACCGGGAGCGCTGACTACCCGATGAAGGCTCATAATTTAAAACGAACGCACGATGACAGATGCAATATTATATTATTATAATAATTAATAGCAAAACAAAGCTTTAAAAGCTATAAAATATTAATATTACCTTAATAATGAATGACTTGGATATATTTTAGTTTCTATATACCAGGGGTCGGCAATGGCGGCCCGCGGGCCATGTCCGGCCCGGGGAAGGGAAATGACTGGACCGCCAAAAATATTTTTTTAGTTCTTCGCTCGTTATAAAAATATGGAGTATAGATAGATAGAATATATAATATAAAGACGAAATTTTTATGTATTTTGAAATTACAATAGTGTTCATCGTTTATAATTTGTCATAAAATGTGTTTTCAATACAAAAATAATAACATTCGTTTTTCCTGGACCTCAACATTTTTTTTTAAATCTATCTGGATCGCCATAGAAATTAATTGCTGACCTCTGCTATATACCAACCTATCATATGAATTTTTAAATTTATGTAATACATAATATGTATTTTAGATTACTAAATTATTATTACTACATTATTTGAGACCACTGGTTTACATTAAGAAAAGAAAAACAAAATCTACCTAATTATAAACATAAGATAACAAATTCTCACTTAACTCAGATATGACATGTTTATTTTTGTCTAATTCCGTCTTATATTAAAAATGCCTATCAAGTCCTTGTATTATAATAGTAATCATATACCTATCACTTTTTTTGTACTGCTATCTTGACTCTTGTCAGTGTATTATCTAATTTATAAAAATCTTTACAATTTTCGTAAAAGTGTTTTAAAGTTCTATAAATTTATTTTATTTTTAACTATAGCATAATAATTATGCCAATTAAATGTTTTGTGCCTGTGTGTAACTCAGGTTTACCCAAACAAAATAAAATGAATAAGCTGCAGGGAATAAAACCGCCTTCAATATTTCATCCTCCTGAGGTACATTATTTGTAAAACGAATTTTTTAAAAATTAATAATTTATTATTTATCTATAAAGAAGCTGCAATATAAATAGATTAATTATACTATTTATATTTTTAAATAAAAAGACCAGCATACCATATCTATATATGTTAAAAAAATTTTTATTAATAATAACATAAATCAAAATAGGTGTATGAGACCAATATATATATATGTGAACCTAGAGATTATAAATATAGAACTTTAGTTCTGAAAAGAATAAAACAAATGTAAAGACATAATACATATATTAAATGTAGTTTAATAATTGTAATATTTTAGACTCCCAAAAATGAACTAGTCTAAGGAATAAATAATCATTTCTATTTTTTAAATAATAAAATAATAATATATTTTTATAATACTTCCTAAATAAGTAAAAATCAACAAATAATTATCAAATTTCAATGTATTTAATACATTTAATTTAATTTATATTCTATGCATTATACAACTTGATAAATAAATAGAAAAATTCAAAGTTTACATTAGTGTTAATTTATTTCTTTTTAGAACATGATTGATACTTGGAATGTAAAAATTCCACGAGCTGATAAGTTATTAACAAAAAAAGATGGAGTATGTGATCTACATTTTGTTTCTGAAGATATTATTTCTCATAAAATTTTTGAGGATAAAGAAGGAAATGAGATAAAATATGAGTTTAAGAAGGTTATTTTGAACCCAAATGCAATACCTTGTATTTTCCCTAATTTACCTTCTAATTTCAACAAACCAGAAAAAAAACGAAAATCTCCAATGGAAAGATCAATAAGACCAAATAATGTTAAGAGGAATAAACCTATTGACATAAATGTAAGGCACTATATGAAACAATAACATATTCATTAATTTTATTTATTTAAATTATATTAATTACATTTCTACAGATTGGAAATCAAACAATTGTTAGCATTCAATTAGTCACTGAAGACACAGTTAAGAATATAATTGAACCATTTAGGTATAATGTTCATACTGATGCAAATAATATTAATCTACCAGGTGCAATGTGGGGGATGCATACTGATTATTCAGAAAAAACAATTTTTACTCATATCAGAGGTCTTTTTAATGATAAATGTATTATTTTCATTACCCCTAATGTAGCTAAAGTAAGTATTTTACAATTATAAGAGTAAAATGATCACATTCAATATGTTTGATATATGATTTTAATTGCACGGTATAGGTATTTCTAAGAGAGAAATAAACTCATATTGAAAAACGTGATGATATAGAAAATCTGTTATGTAAAATTAATTTGTTAAATATTTGTTCTGGTATTAATACAAATCAATGGTTTTCAAAATGTAAGATTTATGTGAAAAACAAATGTGTTAGATGTATATACTGTAAAAATGTTAAAAAAAATATAAATAGGAAAATATGTCAGCAAAAAACTACATTAAGAACCCAATTTAAGTATAGAAGAACTCAGCAAACAAGAAGACAATTTAAATTGTTAACATTTCTTTAAATTATATGAATTAAAAGGTACACATATAATTTTTAGGTTCATCACTATTGAAAATCGAAAATATTAATAAATTAAGCTTAAATAATATAGAATTTGCCATACAAAACCATAGTAATGAGCGTAATAAGGAGCCTTCATCGGGTAGACAGTGCTCCCGGTGGCAGTTACAAGTGGTGTAATTTTTTCGGCCCGCTATCATAATGGTATTAGATAGGAAGTGTTGTCACCTCTATATATCCACCTTGTTATGAGTATTACACTATCACTACAGTTGCTTTATCACATAATTCGTTGATTACATTTAAATATTATATTTAAACAAATAGCCATAATATTATATTAATTGTAATACTAGCTTCTGTGTGCCTTGCTACGGGTGAAAATCGCTTAATATTT